ACTTAGTTGTTATAAAGTGTAAGTTTACCCCCCTATAAGTGAAATCGTTGTGAATATAGTTAGTAACAATATTCCCTTGAGATGTTACTGTAAAATTTAATCGGAAATATTCCTATACTATAATTACTTATCTTACTTTAGCTGATCAACGTATATCAGAAATGGTCTTTCTGTCTCCCAAGGTAAGGGTAAGATTGCGCACATCCTACCCTCCTCAGACCGCACTTGTGGGAATCTCACTTGATTGTTACTTTGTTGTTTGTTGTTGTATAATCAATGGCGGATTTACATGGACACTTGTAGGCAATTATAAAAATATTTAGATAAATATTGAGTGAGCACCCACAATTAAACTCCTTTTTTCTCTTCATTTGAATTTTTTATCGGCGAGCACCTATGACTTTAAAATTCTGAATCCGCCACCGTGTATAATTACTGATATATAGCTGTAACTCCATGGGTAAAACAGTTTATATTGCACAACTGGAGTGACGAAGACTCTGTGAAGTTACTGAAGAAATGCAGAGAATCAATTCCAAATATAAAATAACAACCAATCTTGGCTTTAGGTCTCTAATTGGAATCTATCCTTAGACAGCATATGGTTTATGGATCATATCTTTACAGCTTGTTTGGATGGTTGTTACCTATTGTATCTTATCATATCGTACTGTTACTCTAAATACAATATTTGTTTTGATTGTTATTTAAATTTTATTGTATCGTATTGTTAAATTCGTCGTTATGTAACGACGAAATGTGTCACTTTATGTAATGACCAATTTGGTGTGGTCGCGTTATTTCCTTGTATTTTTCTCTCAATCTCACCCTTCATTATTATTAAATAATTTTATGTTATCATTTACTCTACCTTTTTATATACCGTATTATAATTTTTCTTTGTAATATTGCAAGTTTATTCATCATATTACTAGTGCACGATACCATGAAACGACGACAAAACAACATAATTCATCCGAATATTGTATTCATCAAACGATACAGTACAATACAATACAATACAATATGATACGATACATTATGAAACAATATGTAACAACCATCCAAACAAACTATTAATTAGCAAAATAAAATAAATCTTTGTCGCAGTTGCTTAACAGTCCATAGTTTCTTAATTATAAGTTGATTTTATGGGTGTATTTGGTTTGAAAGAAGCACACTTTTCGGAATTGTGTATTTTCATTGTTGTTGTGGGTGTATTTTTATTGATTCAGAAATGTATTTTTATAGCTAATGTCGAAAGGTCTAAATTTGTCTCAATAAAATTAGAAATTGTTGTTCCATTATCATCTAATTTGACCCAAAATTTAGATCTAGATTTAAATAATTAGATTTTTCTAACAGAATAGAGTTAATCTTAGCGAATATTAATATCCAAAAGATTGTTCAACTGATTTTGTGGCAAAATGTCACAAGTTTCGTTTAAATATCAGTAAATGTGTAATAATGGACAGTATTCAATGGTCCAAGAACAAAGAAAATAGCATTAAATAGTAATAAATGATATATAATAGCATTTGTGTAAATAAATGCAAGTGAAATAATCGAAAAGGGATGAGATTCTATGATATTCCTCCTAACAATGATAAATGATTGACGAGTCTTTGAATATTCGAATTCTTCTTGGATCGTGAAAGAAAAGTTAGACAAAGATTTGAAGAAAAGTTGTATTTTATATGTATGTAATAAAGCAACAATCTTCACATAATGTCAATATGTTGTTCTTTACAATGAGTGTCTAATCCCCCTCTACAGCCACATATCTTTTTTCTTTATAAGGGCATATTGGCCACAAAAACCCTAATAATACAGATCGGAGGAATATTCACTTGAATATTCTTATCATTAAAACTAGCAGTTATTGTCCTTCTAAAGGGAGTGCTCGTCCTCGTTCCTCTATTGAGTCAGCTCGACCTCGTCTTCGTCCTTCGTCAGATCACTTCGGCCTTGCCTTCGTCCTTTGTTGGGAACACATTGATGACACGTGGCGGCTTTTGAAGGCTCTTTTAATATTGACCCACATATAATTAGGATAATTTTTAGCCTATACACTTCTCACTAACAGAGCTCAAGCATGATAGAATGAAAAATCATGTCTAAGTTTTTTCGAGAAAACATATCTATATTTGCTCCTTTAACTTTTGACAAACTATCATTCATTAAGAAATTAAGGGCAAAACATGAATTTCTTTTAGACATACTAATAAGATTTGACCGAAAAATCAATAAATGGCAAATTTTAGTCAATGTCATATTGGACCGGATAAATTTAACATTTTCCCCGTGTAATGGGCTTAAAGGCATAGGACTGTAAGTGCACAGATAGCCAATTTTGAGACAGATGTTTAAGGTTAAAATAGCACGGGCTAGTTAGTTTTTGGACTGGTCATTCAAAAATAGTCATCATTTACCAAGTCATTGAAAAATAGCCACTGTTTTGCTGCAACATAGACCGGTCCAGCATAATATATTGGAGTTCGGTGCACCTGTGTATGAACTTCCAGCATATTATGTTGGACCGGTATATTTTGTTGGCTCTAGTATAATATACTTGAGTTCCAATGCTGGAGTATTTTCCGTATTTTGAACAGTGTTTTCGTTCAAATTTATCTTTACATAAAAAATGGCTAAATTTTGATGACTTTTGAAATTGGGGCTATTTTTTATGACCACTTGTAAATCTGGCTATTTTTGAATTCTACCTGTTGTAAGTTCGCAAAATTGTATAAATGTAGCCACTTCAGTACAACTTCAGACATACAAGACCGAAATTGCAAAAATCTAAAGTAATTTTTTTTCTGTATATACCCCAAACTTCAACATAATCAAAACCCAATCACAGCTTTCAAACTCTTCGAAGAATCAGGCCATCTTGTTAATACTGGCTACCAGTTAAAAAATGGAAATATTGGATATAACTTAATTAGCAATAGCATGGTCAAAACTGGCTACTTGTTAAAATGCATTGTCGGCACCAAAGAATCTTCTTTCACCATTAATGCTTTCCACAGTTCTCTTCAGTTACTTAAATCTCCATAGCTGAGCTGGGGTCGTATTTTTGTCTGAGTTAAGCTAAAGACGACCTAGATATGCTTCCCTTTCAGCTTCCTTAGGTAACACCNTCTCAATTATCCAAATGTAATCCCCTTATTGTTTGTTAATTTGGAATAGAGGTGACTCTCTGCAAGCTGCTGGATTTTGATTCTGCAAAATACTTTTTGGTAATTCCATATGGGGAATGGACTTCAATTTCAAAGGTTATGCTGTGTTTGGAGCGTTAAATTGTTATCAATCTTTGGAATTGTTATTGCTGTTATTGTGCTGCTATCACAATTACTTGCACTTCCATTTGAGAATTACATATCTGTTTTATCAAATGCTGGAAGCTCGACTATTTGGCCAGAAAAAAAATCGTATGCAAATTCAACAATAGGCTTTCATTTGAATATAAGTATATATTCGATACAACGGGAAATAAAGAATCAATCGGCTCAGGTTTTGCAGCTTAAATTACCTGCAGCTCCTCCAATTGGTGAGGAGAGTGTGATTTCAGATACTGGTAATTCAATTTCATCTGATGTAGCCAAGATGTCTGTACCATTTAATGATAAAGGGTTGATGAAAAATCAGACAACGGATGCGAATCCTAATTTGTTACGAGCTGCCGGTGCCTCTATAATGCAGAGTAAAAGAAGAAGAAGGCCGACATCAATTTCCTATATGAACTCTTTAGTGCTGCAGAATTCTGTTAGTTTAGTGGTATGACTGTTGCAGATGTCAATTCTAATTATAGTGGAGATTAATTATCAATTCATTTTTGTTATCTAAACTGCTTTAATTGTTGGTTGTAGAGATCACAATGGCATTCTGCACGTGAACTGGAACTCCGAAATGCAAAGTTTCAGATTGAAAATTCTCCAATAAATAGAAACATTCCAGAAGTTCATGCATCTATCTTTCGAAATTATTCCAAGTTTACGAGGTAACTGGATTTGCTTTTGATTATTAGTTACCTCTTAATATCATCGTATTCATGATTTTAATGAGTTGTGAGATGCTTTATCACAGTAGATATGAATATCATTGCGATGCATTTATTCATCACTAAAATCTTCTCGAATCTTCCTGCTGCTGCAATATAGTGCAAATTTATCTATTACATTATGGATTTGGCAATTTGGAAAGGAGGCTTGAGAAAAGTTTATCAATTGGGAACATTGCTTCCTCCATGCGAAAATATCTTTTTTTTTTTTTAATCGGATCTATTCGCCTCCCTTCTTCTTCTTAGTTCCTTGCTCACTAAATGTATGGTTATATTCTTTTCTGTTTAGTTTTGTTTCGAGGTGACCCACCTGTTGGAGGTAGTATCCTGTGCCTAATGAATAGAGTTTTTGCATTTGTTGGTATGATAATGTGATACATTATAGCCATTTGAAAGACAGTTCAAATTTGTACTTTCATTAAGTCAAATGATCAGCCTTATTTTGGGGGAAAACATGCACCGGATGTTGAATTCTTTGATCATTTTGCAGGAGCTATGAGCTAATGGAACGCCTTCTTAAAGTTTATGTTTATAGGGAAGGGGAAAAACCAATATTCCATCAGCCATATCAACGAGGTATTTACGCTTCTGAAGGGTGGTTCATGAAACTAATGGAGAAAAACAAACAATTTCTTGTGAAAGATCCCAAAAGGGCTCACTTATTTTATTTGCCTTTTAGTTCTCTGAGGCTAAGAGAAGCTCTTTCAAAACAAAATTTTACTCATCAAAAAGAATTGGAAAGTCATCTCAGCAATTACATTGGAAGAATTTCTAGAAAATATCATTTCTGGAATAGAAGCAGAGGAGCTGATCATTTTTTTGCTGCTTGTCATGATTGGGTATGCTTTCTCTTGAGCTCTATCCCATTGTGAATGTTGCATTAGATGGTGCTTTGGCAGTCTAATCGTGTCAATCTACTCATTCTCCCCGGAAACCTCTTTCTGATAACTTTAGGAAAGCAAAAGAGTAAGGGAGGTTTTTTCTTTTTAATAAAAAGTTTATTATATAAACACATACAATTTTGTTTTTTATTCTTTCATTTCTTTGGAAAAGGTAGAGTTTTGAAGAGTTATAGGATGTTTTCTGAATCTGCAACTTGGACGGCGTCCTTATTTACAAATATGGAGTACTACCACCTTCAACACTTTATGTTGCTGTCAGGTGTCCATCTATCATTCTTTTACTAAAAGTAGAAGTACGTTATAGGCACCCCGAATCACGAGGAAGAGCATGGAAACTTGTATTAGAGCTCTCTGCAATTCAAATATAGCTGGAGGCTTCAAGATAGGGAAGGATGTATCTCTTCCAGTAACTTATGTTCGTTCAGCTGAAAACCCGCTCAATGATCTGGGCGGAAATCCTCCTTCAGCAAGACCTGTCCTTGCCTTTTTCGCTGGAGGAATTCATGGTTATCTCCGTCCTATCTTATTGCAACATTGGAGTGACAGAGAACCTGATATGATGATTTTTGGGCCTATGCCTCGTGATACTGAAGGTAAAGCTGAATATAGAAAACTTATGAAAAGCAGCAAATATTGCATTTGTGCCAGGGGTTATGAAGTCCATACTCCAAGAGTTGTGGAGTCCATACACTATGAGTGTGTACCTGTGATCATATCAGATAATTATGTGCCACCTTTCTTTGAGGTTTTCGACTGGGAATCATTTTCTGTCTTTGTTTTGGAGAAAGATGTTCCAGACTTGAGAAACATCCTTCTTTCAATTCCCGAGGAGAAGTACATGGAGATGCAGCACAGGCTGAAGATCGTTCAACAGTATTTCCTTTGGCACAAAAGTCCTGTAAAGTATGACTTGTTTCACATGATCCTTCACTCAATTTGGTATAACAGAGTATTTCAGGTAAGATCCAAATAAGGATGTCAAACGACCTCAGGAATTTTTATATTGAGGGGCATCCGTTGAAGCAAATCCGGATAAAGGACTTAGCATAGAGTATAGCAGAGGAAATGTAGATATCCGAGATGATTTGAACGCTTGAATGATCATATCCGGCATCAGATATGATCTAATTCTGTTTTATGCATGAAGAACGTTCCTGCCTGGTAACTGCTTAAGCCTTAATTAGTGAATTGCTATTGTTGGCAAGCTGAACGTAGCACTCAGTGTTGATGCCTGATAGTATCCTTCCTCTTTGCAGCCCCGTGCATACTTGTATAATGCTCTGATAGTTTACCAATTGTTGCCATATACCTCTATAAGAACTTCCTAGCTCTCTTCCTAATGCATTTTCCATACTCCGCCATTATTCTCCCGAGTGGAATGACACCCACATTCTTTGCTAGCCTGATAGTTCGAGCTTTGATTCGTCTCTTTTCTCTTTTTCTCAATAGTGTTCTTGCATTAATGCATTCTAGAGCCGTTGACCTTAAAATATCGCAATGGAATTACGATTTTTTTCTCTCTTCTCTATGTGAAAGTGGAATTAATGATCCGTTGCATTACTTGCTTATGGCTATAGGAAATTTTGCTATTTTACAAACATCGTAGCGAGAGTTCTTTAAATGGCTGTTCAGTTTTCTTTGGTCTGATCAGGATCAGTAGCAAGATAATTTTGGGCATTTTATATTGATTTATATCCTTATAGTACTATTCTACTACTGCACCAAACAGGCTCTAATGGAGCATCAGTAACTGGTTTTGCTAGTTGATGCTTCCTGGTTTTCACTGTACTTCAATGTTATAAGGGGAAGCTCAAAAACGAAAATACTGTTAGTTGTTGTCATAATTTTCTTACCATATTGGGTTTTCCTATCTATTGAAGGAAGGGCAATATGTTTACCATAATTGGGTTTTTCTTTTTGAAGAAAGAAATTATAATAAGTCTCTCATATTTGGCTAGTCCCTTTTCTTGGAGGAAAATGTTTGGGCTTCTATAAATTGAGGATCATTTTTTCTCATTCAGCAGTATCCACAACGTAGCCATATGGGGTTTGAGAGTCATGTTAGGGGGAGAACATTACGGGACAAGTGTTTGTGTGTCACTTATGTTTGCCTCTTCGTGAGGTTGTTCTCTCGGTATTCTGTACTCTCTTTTATATAGTGGATTGTTCATCTCTGCCATGGACGTAGGTCAATTGATCGAACCACGTTAAATGTTTGTGTCTCTTTTGGTAAATTTCTCTTTTGTTGGATGATATATCGTTGTTCAAGGTTTGATTTACTAGTTTCCGTACGACACCTGATTATTTCGATCCTAACAAATACAACATGAACTAAACTAATTCTGTACTCTTTTTTGTGCAGTGCCGGGACACAGACTCTCTTCAGAACGATTCCAATTATTTTTTTTAATTGTATTCTTTTTATTCAAGAAGTTTGACCCCCCTCTAATTTTTTTGTTTTCTTTATTTGATTTGTGTTTTCTTTGGGGACTTAGATTCCAATTTAATGTGTCTCACAACCAAGAAAAATTAGGGGGGTCATTTTGGTTTTGGGTCTGCTACGCGACGAATAGGTTCAAGAGATGAGAGAAATAAGGATACCCACCAGAAAGACTAATCCAATCCATAATGATGTATCAGAAAATACAATATTTTTGTTACTTCACCAGCCATCACGAGAAGCAAATACAATGGGTACGCTAATCAATAAGATTAATGAAGTAGCAATTAATGCAAAAACAGCCAATTGGTAAGCAAGAGTCATGCTTTTAATCCTCCAAGCTACCAAGAAATGAACTATATACCATTTGATCCCTCTATCAGCCAAAAAATATTAATTGTGATAAAATATGTCATCGAGGGATTTTACTTTATCATGAATCCATTGATTCTATATGACTTATTACTACTCCCCCTTTCGCACTTTATTCGTACATAGAGTGGGGTGGGGGGAAATGGAATTTTATTTTTTATTTCACAAATGAGCATGCTAGATCATATATCTATATACGGATAGATAGAACTAAAGTAATTCTGATTATTAAAAAAAAAAGAACATTTCTAAAAAGTATTGGAAAAAGAATTAACGTTGGATAGCATCAAGTCTTTCTCCTTAGATAGATTTCATTCACTGGGAGTTTAAAAAGGTTTAATTGAATCTTGACATTAAAATTAGATTAGTGAAAGTAATACTAATTCCCCTAATATTTAATTCGGATATCTCTCTCACCAAAAGTTTTATACTATTCTAAGTAATAAATCCTCTAACAGGGACAGTAAAAACTCGAGACAAATATATGCAACTGTAGTTTGATCATGCATTTTAGCCACCATATATTAATGAACTGAGATTTTCAAAGTCCCCATGAATGTTAAATGATCAACCCGAAGATAACAATTAGGAAGAAAAAGTAGGTAGCAAAACATAGTTGTATTTGCACTTACCCCTTCTCATATTGAGCAAATGAACTAACCAACAACAACAACAACCACCCAGTATAATCACACTAGTGGGGTCTGGAGAGGGTAGTGTGTACGTAGACTTTACCCCTACCCTGGGGTAGAGAGGTTGTTTCCAAATAGACCATCGACATCCTTCCCCTAGTGGGGTCTGGAGAGGGTAGTGTGTACGCAGACCTTACCCCTACCCTGGGGTAGAGAGGTTGTTTCCAAATAGACCCTCGGCATCCTTCCCTCCAAGAACTCCCCACGTTGCTTTTGGGATGACTCGAACTCACAACCTCTTGGTTGGAAGTGGAGGTTGCTTATCATCAGAGCAACCCCTAACCAATTAATACCAAAACTTTAAATTCTCGAAAGGAAAAAAAATAAAAATAAAAAGGGCAAATACTCCACTATATATACATATAATGCATGCCTTTCCCAGAGCCTGACTTGCATTACTAAGTATAGCATTTTTAGATATAATTTACTCCTAGCTAGCTAGAAATGGAAATGAAATACCTAACCCTAATGGTGACAGTGATGGCGGCCATGGCTATATTTGAAGGGAAATTTAGTATGGCCAATCTGATGGAGGTGAAATGTATAGAAGTTTGCATGAACGAATGCAAGAAAACTGGTATAGCCACTGCTGCCTGTCTCAAATTCTGTCCACTTCACTGTGTTCCACCTACGCCTCCTCCTGAAGTCCGCTACTGCAATCTCCGATGCATTCTTCAACATTGTGTTGACTACAAGAATGGTACGTACTTCATTCATCCGATCCATTTTACTTGTCATGTTTGACTTGGAGGGTTGTTCTGATGGTAAGCAACCTCCACTTACAACCAAGTGGTTGTGAGTTCGAGTCTACCCAAGAGCAAGGTGGGAAGTTCTTGGAGGGAAGGACGCCGAGGGTCTATTTGGAAACAACCTCTCTACCCCAGAGTAGGGGTAAGGTCTGCGTACACACTACCCTCCCCAGACCCCACTAAGTAGGATTATACTGGGTTGTTGTTTGACTTTCGAATATCGTAGCCAAAAAGTTAGTACGTCGTTCTAGGTCTAGTGTGAAATATTACGCATTGTATGCAAGCAGGGGCAGAGCTAGAGCTTCGACAACAGATTCGGCCGAACTCAGTAGCTTTAATCCAAACCATATATTTCTCTTAAGAAATTCATTGAATAGGTACAATTTCTTCTTTTAGAACCCAGTAACATAAAAAGGTTATCACGAACCCAGTAACTTCAAATTCTAGTTCCGCCTCTGTATGTCAGTACGAATGAAGAGGAGCCTTGGATCAACGATAAAGTTGTCTTCACGTGACTTATAGGTTACGGGTTCAAACCGTAGAATCAGTCACTTATGTTTGTATTAGAATAGGCTGCCTATATCATACCCCATTAAGAAGGGCATCCTTCCTCGGATCTTGCATGAACGGCGCATACTTCGTGCACCGCGCTGCCCTATATACAATACGAATGACTGCATTTGTATGCACATAACACATTCATCCACAATTCCACATATACCTGCACGTGCATGGTTTGGAACATTATGGTGAAGCCAAAAGTGAAGACTTTTTCCAGCATTTTCTATAGTAAATCTATTTGAACAAGTATCTGGACAAGCTTGTTGTACATGATCAATAGTTTATCAATATAATGACTTTTCAGGAAAGATAGTATCCCGACGACGAATTTTTCTTGAATATTTTTCTTTTACTGAATTTTTTTTATGTATTTTTTTACGAATAAATTTTCATCCCTTTTAATTTGGTGCTTATATATCATTGCAGATGAAGAGAAACTGGAGGGCTGTGTCTCCAACTGCCGGAAGAATGATCATTGCTAAATTACTAATTCTATAATGATACATTTTACCCACACAATAAATGCCGCATAATTCTAGTCCTCGCTCTATTTCTGTTTATTTTTCTTTTAAATAGTGAGTTTCAGCTTTCAGTTCTGTCTTAAAGAATTTGGATCAGATGATGCAGACGTTATCTAATTGCAGATTTTATTTGGTGGGAGTTCCACTGAGAATATTTTCGGGGAAAAATAAAAAATAGTCAGATTTATATAATCGAAATTTACCCACTTTTTCATGTAAAGATAAAATTTGAATAAAAACGCTCTTAAAAATCCGGAAATATTCCAGCATAACATAATATGTTGGAGTTTGAATTTTTTATATATGAGCTTCAAGCATAATGTGCTGGAGTTTTAATATAATATGCGGGAAGTTTATATGCAAGAGCTTCATAATCCAGTATATTAAATTTTCGTGTGTTGGAGTTACAACATTATATGCTGGAAGTTTATACGCAAGAGCTCCATAATCCCGCATATTATGCTGGAACATTCCATGTTTCAACAATAGTGGTTATGTTTTAATGACTTTGCAAATGCTGACTATTTTTTTTATTAGCAGTCCGAAAACTGTCTAGCCCGTACTATTTTCACAATATTTGCTAATAATGAAGTTTTTTCGAATTTGTTAAATTAATGGATCGATAGAAAAAGATCAGTTATATATAAGTTTGTGATATTAAGTTGTTGCTACATTGTAAAATATGCAAAGTCTACACCAAATATCAAAGGGGTCTTAATTCAGAACATTTAATCTTAGGTGAGCGCGCAAAGCATAAGATGAAGTCATTCTTGACCCCTAATTAAGACTAATCTAATTTTAAATTTAAGAAGTTGAGTTTATTACTGAAAATTCTTTTGGACAAATTACAAACCTAGTCCGTCGGTTGGTTGAAACTAATTACATTCACTAGTCAAAAAGTATATAAAAGGCAAAATACCTTAAAACCTCCCAAATTTGGCACTTATTATTGGTTACATCCTTAAATTATTCGTGATCATAATTACCACCTATACTTGGTTATTCGATAGCTGTTACCCCCCTTGGATTATCTCATTCTAGAAAAGTGGCATACACTCGCTTGCCACGTGAATTTTCCTATCCTTGTGGCATATTTTGAAAAATAAAATATATTTTATACATTTTTAAGTGCTTTACTTTTTTAGATAATCCTTTTCGAATAAAATTTATGATAAAACTAGAACTATATTATTTAGACTCATTTTTTTTATTTGGCTAAAAATAATAAACTTTTAATTATTGTTTTTTGAATTTGAAAATGAAAATAAAGATTTATACCGTTGAAATAAATAGTCAAGGCATCTAAAAAGATGTAAAAAATATATAGTTTGATTTTTATTACTTTGGCATAAATAGTCATTGCAACAAAAGAAGAAATAAAAAGAGTGTACAATTGCAAGTTCATTATTTTGGCTATACCTTTTTATTTGGTAAAAAATAATGGAGTTGTAGCCATTTTTTTTTTACTGATTTGACTCGAAAATAAAAATACACATTCAAACAAATAGACATTATATATAAAGAAAAAAAATAAAAGAAAATACACTACTATTACTCCATTATTTTTGCTAAAAGTTTCCTATTTGGCTAAAATGATGGAGTTCCAACCAAACTTTTACAAATTTGCCCCCNGTACTTCATTATTTTTGCTAAAAGTTTTTCATCCGGCTAAAATGATGGAGTTCCAATCAAAATTTTTACATTTGACCCAAAAAAAAAATACAGTTGGAACAAATAGACATTATATCTATATAAGAAATTAAAAATAATAAAGTTAGAGTAAAGTCCACATTATATGTTAAGATGAAGCAAGAAGAAATACATACTTGTAACAAATAAATCATTATATATGACTATATGACAACTAAAAGTTAAAAAATAACCTACTTGGAAGTTGGGTTTTCAATTTTTCTTCACTTTCACTCGCTTAAAAGAGAGTGCGCTCACACTATTTGTCACATCAACGTCTAGTGGGTAATGGCTGTTAGAAGGTCAAGTTCGGGGAAGGGATAATTAAGACCACGAATAATTTAGGAATGTAACTAATAATCTGTGTCAAATTTAGGGGTTATGTATTCTGCCTATATAAAATATGTATATTTCTTGGATATAATACACATTTTTAAAAAAATTACTTATTGTGAAAATATACATTTCTCAATTATTTACCTAATGTAAAAACACAAAGGCGATAATAAATTATTCCATTCTTTAGCCAATACCGAAGAAGTAGTGAAAAAAATGGGGAACGATCATGACAAAACAATAGCTATTATTCATTAGGTCATTGCTGATGGGTCCGCTATTATTCATTAGGTCGTTGTTGATGGGTTCGCACAATTTTAGGCAATTTAGAGTCGGTCTTGTTTTATAATCGTCCTCAAATCTTGTTTTATGGCCCTAAAATGCCAAAAAACGAGGAACGGTCATGGCGAAGCGATAACTATTGTTCATTAGGTCATTTTTATGGGCCTGCAAAATTTTAGGCAATTCGAAGTCGGTCGCCCGAATTCATGTAAATAGCGTATACTATAGCACACGAAAATCTAGAAATCCTTTTGAATTTCTGTTTATGGCCCTAAAACGCCAAAAATGAGAACGGTCATGCTGAAGCGATAACTATAATTCATTAGTTTGTTTCTAATGGGCATACAAAATTTTAGGCGATTCGAAATCGGTTGCCCAAATTCATGCAGATAGCATGGACTATAGCACACGAAAATGTGAAGATCGTTCTGAATTCCTATTTTATAACCCTAGAATGCCACGCGGTTAATATTTTTCATGAGGCTATTTACGGTGGGCCTGCAAAATTTAGGCAATTCTGAGCTCATCGTTTGAATTCATGTAGATTGCGTGGACTATAACACGTAAAAAATATAGAAATTATTTTGAATTTCTGTTTTATGACCCTAAAACGCAAAAAAAAAAAAAAAAAAAAAAAAAAAAAAAAAAAAAAAACTTATTTATCATCTACTTCCTCTGTTTCAATTTATGTGAACCCATTTGACTGAGCACGGAGTTTAAGAAAAGAGAGAAGACTTTTTAACGTGTAGTGTAAAATGAGGCACATATATTTTGTGTGGCTATAAATAATTGTATAAAAGTAANTGTTTCTTATGGGCTCGCAAAATTTTAGGCTATTCGGAGTCGGTCGCTCGAATTCATGCAAATGTCGTGGACTATATATACACGAAAATCTAGAAATCATCCTAAATTTCAGTTTTATGGCCCTAAAATGCAAAAAAAAAATAATGAGGAACAATCATGGCGATTCGATGACTATTGTACATTATGTTGTTTTGATGAGCGTGCAAATTTTTATGGAATTCTGAGTCGGTCGCCCAAATTCATATAGATAACGTGGACTATAGCACATATAAATCTGAAAATCGTCCTAAATTCCTATTTTATGATCCTAAAATGCCAAAAAACCGAGTAAAGGTCATGGCGAAGCGGTGACTATTGTTTATTAGGTCGTTTTTAATGGGCTCTCAAAATTTTTAGCGATTCTTAGCCAGTCCCCGAATTCATGCAGATTGTGTGAAATATATCACACAAAAATCTGAAAATCGTTTTGAATTCCTATTTTATGGCCCGAAAATATCAAAAATGATCGTAGCGAAGCGATAGAATATTATTCATTAAACGCAAAACCGGGCGGCTAATTTTGACAGATTAGAAGGTCGGCCTTCTAAAAGTTATGAAAAGGGGATCAGGGCCCAAATTTTATAAATTTTGCCCAGGCCCAGTTGAGGAACGGCGAACACATCTTATACCCTAAACTCAATTCTATATAACTGAGAGTGTGCAGTCAGTAGGGTTTGTTCCTCCGGTCGCCGTCTGAAGAAAATGGTAAGCTTTCAGCCATGGTTACACCAATCCTCTTCTTCATTTTGCAATGGTTATTGATTTTTATTTTCTTTTGCGGGAAGTGTAGGCTCCAAAGAAGGGTGTAGCAGTAGCATCAAAGAAGAAACCGGCTCAGGCGAAGGTGGTGAATCCACTGTTCGAGAAGCGGCCCAAGCAGTTCGGAATCGGTGGTGCGTTGCCACCAAAGAAGGATCTGACTAGGTTCGTGAAATGGCCTCAGGTGGTTCGTATTCAAAGGAAGAGGAGGATTCTCAAGCAGAGGTTGAAGGTCCCTCCTGCTCTCAACCAGTTCTCCAAAACCCTCGACAAAAACCTCGGTCAGTGTCACTATGCTATATAACCTAATTTCACCTATTTTTTTGAAGTTTTTTACTAATTAGTTGCTGTATTCTGTGAACAATTAGTTAAGTAGTCCTTTATGACCCGTCCACTCTATTTGCAGCTGTTCCCTCTTCGAATATCAATTACTATTGACTTAACAATCACTTTTTGCCTATGTAACTAGCCTCTATATTCGTTAAACTTGATTTGGGCTCATTTTGTTTTAATACTTGTATTTCGTCGAGCTATTTTATGCATATAAAAAAATTATGAGCTATTAGCTTTAATCTCTCTCTGTGTGTGTTTGTCTTTTAGGGCTACATTTTCAGTCTTAATGTGTTAAATGCAGTGTGTTTCAATTTGAACCTTCACCCAAAGTGGTGGCATAATTAGCAAAGAGGAATTGTGAGGAATGATGTTTTTTTTTGAACTATAATGTGATCCCATATCGGTTTCGAGTGTTTGAACTAGCCTCGTCGTGTACTTAAAGACAGTTGAATGGGTAGGTGATTGGTCTTTGCTTGTGGATTCTTATGATTCCGGTATTGTAGCCTCTCTCAGTGAGAGTTTGCAAACTCCTCAACTTTTGCTATGTGAGCAATATGGAGAACACTCTAGGCCTCGCACCCCTGACAATTATTGGCTTATTTTATTGTTCGGTAACCTAGGAGCTGAATGAGCTACTATTGCCTCCGTTCGGAATACTTTTATAAACTTCTTTTTGAGAAGGAGAATCAATTTAGACATTATCATAATCTTTTTGTTGGAATTCCTTGTCGGATAGTACATTTTGCATAGTCTTTGTTCTATACCATGTGGATGCTGTTTTTATAGAATGTTTAATTTGACTTGTACCATTGAAAAAGTTATTGTCATGGACTTTTTATCTTTTGTTTTCAGCATATTGAATTTTACTTTCGAGAAACTACTTATTTTCAGGCAGAAATGTTTTTCGGAATGTCTTCCGTCGTACCAAATAAACCCTTTTCTAATCAATCTTAAATGGCTATGCTGTGATGTTGTACTTGGTCATTATGTGTCTTGCCACTTCTCTAGTATCCTACAATGAAGAATATAAGTCATCAGATCTCTATTCAACTTTTGTATTGTTTTACTTGCAATGAGGTATTTTATTTCATTGAGGCTGAATTGAATTATATCTATTGCCTTTGTCCGTTGAATATGCAGCGACAAACCTTTTCAAGATGCTTCTCAAGTACAGGCCCGAGGACAAAGCTGCAAAGAAGGAGCGTCTTGTGAAAAGGGCTCAAGCTGAAGCTGAAGGAAAAACTCCTGAAACAAAGAAACCCATCATCGTGAAGTATGGTCTTAAGCACATCACATACCTTATTGAGCAGGTTCGTTCTTGTCTTGCGAAGGTCTTTTATGTGGCTCATCTTCCCCCCCCCCCCCCCCTAAAGGGACTAATTTCCATTGATATTCTTGCAGAACAAAGCACAACTGGTAGTGATTGCTCATGATGTGGACCCAATTGAGTTAGTTGTCTGGCTTCCTGCGCTATGCAGAAAGATGGAAATTCCTTACTGCATTGTGAAGGGGAAAGCACGTTTAGGATCGGTGAGCAATCCTAAATTTTTTGATATCTTAATAATGCTTCATGACAGACTGGTCAGATGCAAGCTAACTGTGAAATGTACAGTGAAATTCTTCTTCATTTTCCTCTGTAATATCATCTTTAACTTTATTTTCTTGAAATTGTTGGTTTTTATTGTTTTAAGGAATTTAAATCTGGGCTTTGGGTTGCTAAATAGGGGAGAGCTTATGAATAATAGCTCTGAAATACTTACAGGTTTTCTGTGGGGTGCCCTACCAATCTAAAAGCCTTGAACAGCAAATGTAAAAATGGCATCATAGTACGGATTTGTTGCAGTTCTAAGTGGGTGTTTTTATGCTTCTGAAAAGTAATTTTTGTTCTCTTTTTTGAGCCAATTTTTGCTTTTTTAGAAGCTAACCCACTTCTGACTCTTTCGTTCACAAATTCGCCTCCAAACGCCATTACATTTTTGTTTATCATTTTCGTTTGCCAATAAAAACATGCTTCATGACAGATTAGATTCTGATACTTATGCATTGTATGCAGATTGTGCACAAGAAAACTGCTTCAGCTCTGTGTTTGACAACAGTGAAGAATGAAGATAAAATGGAGTTCAGCAGAATTTTGGAGGCAATTAAGGTATCTCAATTTATATATGACTAGTTTGGTTTCCTTTTTGCCCTAAAGCTATTCCAAGGATATCTCTTGATACTTGTTTGCATTTCCAGGCTAACTTCAATGACAAGTATGAGGAGAACAGGAAGAAGTGGGGTGGTGGCGTCATGGGTTCCAAATCACAGGCCAGAACCAAAGCCAAAGAGAGGGTTCTTGCAAAGGAAGCTGCCCAGAGAATGAACTAAGAGCTTGCTGTGATATACACCGCAATTGGATTAGGGACTTTCTCCGCCAATTTTTGTGTTTGGTTCACATGCTTGACAATATTAGAGATATTAGTTTGATAAGTCTCTTTATGTTTGCCTTCTTTTGCAGATTATTGATCTGTGGGAGAAACTTTAAATTGTATCTGAAGTTTTTGTTAGATATTTTGTTGAATTTGGTTTTTGTGATAGTGAGATGGGAGGTTAATCTATTAACTACACTTTTATTGCTTAGATATTGCTTTGCTTGTTGCTAATTGTAGGTTCTACTCATGGACGGTGCTTTTGGGGTTTTACGTTTTTTTTTTTTTGGTTTTTCGTACCTGCATTGGATTAGGACTCGTGTTACGTAGGGCCCTATTTGGGGATTAGGACTCGTGTTACGTAGGGCCCCATTCGGAGGGAAGCGCTCCCTATCAAGGAATTTTCCACACTCAGGATTCGAACTCGAGACCTCTGGAGCAATACCTTCCACTGCACCATATCCTTTGGTGGTGGGATTTTACGTTAATGATTGATTTTGTGCCATTTTTTGTTTTTGCGATCTCTTAAATTTATATAGGAAGTGGGATGGTGTTCTTACTGTGACAACAATTCAATTTTGACAGAAGTGCACAGTAATGTAATTTGCGAGCATAGACATGCTAAAAGTCCTTAAATGCCGGTAAAGTGAGTAAACTTTAAAATGTTCTCATCTCCCTATTCCACCTTTCAGTGTTTTCAGTATGATTTTTCTTAGGCCCCTCTCTCTAAAAACCTTTTACCATTAAAAAAGACTTCAATTTTTCAACTTTAATTCATCATTTGAAATGTTGGATTATCTAAAAATAGGGGTAAAACAAGGATCAGCAAGATTTGGTGGAGCGTAAAGAGTGATTTGTTGACTAGGTAAGAATATTAGATTTAGAAGTTGTTTGTTTGAAATTAAGAGGAATCAAGAAAGAGGGATGTGCAACAGTGCATTCGGCTAGAGGATTTCGAATTTTCCACAACTCCACAAGCTAGAATCATACTCCTAACTCCCTCCTGTCCACAATAAGTGGTTAATTTGTTTTTTTATATTGGTCTAAAATAAGTGTCCATATATATAATCAAGAAAAAATTCAATTTGTTTTTCTAAAATTACCCTTACGTACGTATCCCTAAAAAGTCATTTACTCCTCACATTTGAGAAGAGAAGTAAGTACTACTATAACTATGGTGCAATATTTAATGAAGGGTAGATTAGTCACATTAACTATTTTAATTTAGAATTTAGTATTTTCTTAATGGGTGTGCCCAAAGCAAATTGGTCATTAAGTGTGGACCGGAGAGAGTAGAGATTATTGAATTTAATAAGTGAGGAGTCGTAAATTAGCTCAGAGAGCTACTTTAGATGAAGGACCAACACTTCAATTTCTCGTGCTATTTGTACATTATGCTCCTTTATAATATTGTATTTTAAAAAAATGATCTTTTTAAATAGTTTATGTATAAAAGATAAATTTCTTACGTGTAAAAATTAATCTTTTATGGATAAAAAAAAAAGGTAGAGTCATAAAATTAACGGAGAAGGGCCTAAAATGCCCCTTTACTATATGAAATAGGACAAACTAATCCTCCGTTAAAAGTTAGTCTCTATTCTGCCCTTGCCGTTAACAAATGGGCTCGTATATGCCCTCCATCACTAACGGGAGACTCATAAAGCCATGTGGAATATATATGAGGGCAAGTTAGATCTGGTTTGAATTGTATAGGGGCATATATGAGTCAGTTATAATAGTTATTTCTCAAACACTTCACAACCCCATATCAGTTTACTTCGACACCTATTTGACAACACCAAACTAATTATCACAGCAAATAAGCTAAGTCATAGACACACGCATTCAGATGAACGACAATGACTTCATTAAATCCTAGCAGCTCAAAGGGGTCGAATTATAACAAAAGACAACAAAAGACAATGTCAGAATATTCTAGTAGCTCAAAGGGGTCGAATAGGAGGTGTCATTACGGACTTACTGCCAATTATTTCATGGCATGTATACCTTTAAATGCTGGGAGAAGGTTTTTCAAGTGCCTGAAGCATGAGGTAAGAATTTTTTTTGATAGGTTCTTTTAATTATTCCGATTTGTTTGTAATTTTATTTTATTTATTTTTGGTTTTTCGGATGAAAAAATATTCCTATTGGGAATGACAAGATGAAGAGCTTCCTCGTAGAGTTTTAGATCTCACATGCAGTTTAAAGAAGGAAAAGGAAGCTCTAATCCGTGAAAGAAATGCTCTCTAAAGGAAAATTTGATCTTGAGAATGTTATGATGCTCGTCGATCATGGAAGAATATAAGCCTTGGAATTGGAAAGAAATGTCCTAATGAAGAAAGTGACCGATTTAGAGTACTCAGTTGTGCTTGATGCTAAATTTCGGAAGAAAATGTAGATTTTCATGTGTGTGATATTGGGATGTCTTGTTATGTTCTCTGGATCAGTGAAAAATGATATGTAATGTTAGTGCTATTGTGGCTTACTTATTGTTTTTTATTATGCAATGAAGCTTTATGTTTTTGTACAAGGATTTAATGAAGTCATTGCCGTTTATTTGAATGTTTGTGTCTATGACTTAGTTTATTTGCTGTGATAATTAGTTTGGTGTTGTCAAATTGGTGTCTAACTAAACTGATATGGAGTTCTAAAGTGTTTGAGAAATGACTATTATAACTGACTCATATATGTCCCTATACAATTCGAACTAGGTCTAATTTGCCCTCACATATATTCTATGTGGCTCTATAAGTCTCCCGTTAGTAATGGAAGGCATATACGATCCCATTTGTTGACGACAAAGGCAGAATAGAGACCGACTTTTAATGGAGGACTAACCTGTCCTATTTCATATAGTAAAAGGGTATTTTAGGCCCTTTTCCGTAAAATTAAACACAAGTTTTATAAAGAGCCAAAAAACTATTTGTCTTCCCTGTATTAGATTTTCTTCATCTGTCACTTTCGTCTTACCGTCCATCTCATTCTCATCCAAAAAAACAAAAGAGAGATATTTTTAAACACTCGTCTTCGTAACAAAGACCAAATTACGACGTCGTTTGATCCCCTTTTTTTGATTCCTTGGACATCCCTCTCTCTGCTCAATCAAGAACCTCAATTCCCATCAGTAGAAGTAAAGACTTTTGTGAAGCTATTGATGGCGTGTACCTCTATTTAATTCTCTTCGAAACGCTCAAAATTTCCAGAAGATAAGAATATCACAAATTTAAAATCCAGGCTAAGTTATTAATTTAATTTCTAATCATTTTTCAACAAAACGTGCATGATCCACCAACCCACTGAGCTGAAATTCATGCCTCGGTTACCCATAAATCAATTATTTTACTTCTTATAACTGTATTTGTGGATTTGGGTTCTTGTTAAAGTCCGATAATTGAAAGCTGAAAGCAAAGAAAAAGAGAGGACACAAGATGATGAATCAGATTGGAGGGAAAATTTGTTCCTGGACACGGACGAAGATCGTTGATCCTCTTTTTCAAATCCTCCAAAGGTAGCTATATTTACCCTTTTACCCTTCTTTTTGTTAGAGTATGTAAAAATATGTACGTGTGAAATGAAATGATTATTCCAGCAGGAAAATTGCATTCTTCTTTAGATAAATAATTGGGGTTTTTGGAGTTTTTGAAGTCAGTATCTGAATACTAATATTCTAATAATTTCTTAATGGAAAGATGACAAAGTAAGAAGCTTTACTGATATGCACAATGAATGGTTTTCTTGATTTGTTTCAAGGGGAGCAGAGCCGAAGCAATTGGCATTCTCTGCGGCTCTTGGAATTACATTGGGGGTATTTCCCATTTGTGGTATGTTCTGTTAAGCTGGAATTAGTCCTTATTATCCTTGTTTTATGTAAATTTCTGTTTGTATGAAAGCATTCCTTGTTTACTGCCTTAAGCTTGTGGTGTATTCTCTGACTATGCATTCCAAATTCTTCGACTCGACTCCTAGGAGGTAATTTCATGACAAATAGAAGGTTATCTTTAACTGTAATTCAATTCCTTTCTTAATGTGTTGAGAGAACTATAGAATTGCTAGGGGATGATAATGGTAAAAGAATTAATAATAAGATGTATCGGCGAAGTTTCTTTTACTGAATTTGAAATGGATTAAACCGTGCAATATCAAAATGCTAATGAAATGCTATATTGAGATGGTATTGAAATGATTTAAGAAGGAATTTTGGGATGTATAAATGGATCTGTCGATAGGAGAAGAATAAATGATGTGCTTGTACATATTACAACTTATAGAACTTCTACACTGAGATTTGGAATCAATGGTCCTGTGAATTGGTCAGCAATTGATTAATTGCCATTAGTGTCAGTTTAGGAGCTTCACCCCATAAGAATACGTTTGAATATCTTCCTTGACAGAGTTTTTATTCAACATGCTGTGGAACTATTATTCCTGTCTGGAGTAAGCAAAGCCAACTTCCATACTTATTTCTTTGGTATCACATTGGTTCACTGTATATCATCATTTAAGAAGCTTATTTGTAAATTCATCATTTTACTTTTTCATGATTAAAAAAGGGTAGCCCGGTGCACTAAGCTTCCGCTATGCGCGGGGTCTGGGGAAGGGCTGGACCACATGGGTCTATAATACACAACCTTACCCTGCATTTCTGCAAGAGGTTGTTTCCATGGCTTGAACCCGTGACCTCCTGGTCACATGGTAACAACTTTACCAGTTACGCAAAGGCCCCCTTCTACTTTTTCATGATTATATGATGAAAAATTACGTCATCAATTGATAGAAATATCTAAGTTTTCTTTTCTTAAGAAGTTAACACAAATATGTATTACAAAAGGCAAAACTGTTCAATATCTTACTCTGTGTGTGTATGATGATGAAGGTGAGGTATTAATTAACAGACTACATGTAAGTTGATCCTGTTCAATTTCCACTTTAATTTCTTCATTACTGGCTAGAAATATTGAGTGAACTGATTTCTGCCTTGAAATTATTGAATTGTGCTAATCAAATGTTTTTCTCAACAGGTGTTACTGTGTTCCTATGTGCGATCGCTATTGCATTATTTGGATCCTTTTGTAACGCTCCAACTGTGTTGTTGGCTAACTTCATTGCTACTCCAATTGAGTTGAGGTGCTTAACAGTGGTTCTTTATAAGATCAATTGCTTGATCTTTTGCTATTGCTACAAGTCTATTTCTTCTCCCCAAAGACCATTTTC